GTGTGTGTGTGTGTGTGTGTGTGTGTGTGTGTGTGTTCGTGTGTGTATGTCTTCTGATATGCCACTAGCCACATACACACTATAGATAAATATGGTTGTCAATCCTCTTCTGTACACACACACAATCTCACTTTCAAATTCTGACTGTTACCTAAAAATAAATGAAATCATCAAATACCAGTAGCAAGACACAATAAACTTACACAGTACTAATTTAATCACATTTTAATTTAATTGCTGTTCTACCCTGCATGTAGAGGCTGATAATTTAAAGTTCATCTGCAATCCTTATAAAAACATGAAAGCATGACATTTTCATGAGATCTCCAGACAGCACATGGCACTTTCTCCCATTAATTACACAGAAATGATATTTTTCCCCCCTCTTTTTCAGACACAGAACACATACAGCAATATGAAGCCCACCTGAACAAACAAAAAGTGGCCTGATAGAGAGACAGACATAATTATGAAAAATTGACCACATCAATTCTGAGCAAGTAAGCATGAAACAGCTGGATGGCGAGGAGAACTTCCCGGTCCCAGACTTCCAAATCATATATAATCGTTATGATTACCACGCAGTGTGACCCGTAGCCTTTAATATCAAAGACGGGCTGGGCTTGCGGTGCACAGGGGGGTCAAACACACCCACCCACCCACACACACACACACACACACACACACACACATGTTCTATGTGCAACACTGTTTACTGCACTATATGCTCAACCACTTCCAGAAACCTGCTCCGACATATGGAGTTAATTTTAGAACTGATGCACTTGACTGGGTGAGTGCAGGAAAAAGAGATAAAGAAAGGACAGAAAGCAGGAGGGAAAAATAAGAGAGGGAATGGAAAATGCGTATGTCATTCTGCAAAAATGTATCATAATTAGCAATTTATGACAACACTGAGGTGTCTGTGTCTCAAATTAAAATGAAGGACAGGAAAATAGACAGAACATAAGCTATAGCAGTGTTGCCAAGTCCATGATTTTCTCATGAAATTGGGCTACTTTTATACTGTTGCCGCAGGTTTTTTTTAGTCCGCAGGTTGCAGCGAAGCTCCCCAGAAAGTGATTTTAATAATCAATTTCTCCCGTAACCCAATTGGTCTAGTTTTGAGTACCATTGGGCTGGTTTTGTTACGCAGACCTGGCAACCCTGAGCTATAGACACATCATTCCTCTCTTCCCTTAGAAACTCCACTATTCTGCTCGAATTCTTGTACACCAAGGAAGGTTTATCTATAGCATTTAAACCCAGAACCCTCTAGCAAGGCTCTAGTAATGACTTAGAATACCTTAACAGCAAAGCAACTTGCCAATAGGACTAAGAACACTTTAAAAATCACCTACCAGCACATTAGAAACCATCCAAAATACCTTACAACAGCATAAACAACACTCTGATAACTACTTAGCAACACATTAGGAACCATCTAGAACACCCCAAAAACAGTACAACACCCTAACAACATTCAGAGCACCTTAATTATCACATAGCAACAGCAATCCCCTACCCTAGCAACTGCACAGCGACACAATAAAACACCCTAGTGACCACCCAGCAACACTCATGAAACCACCAAGAACACCAGCAAAGCAATGCATTAACAGCACTGAGAACACCCTAATACTCACCTAGCAACATCCTAGCAACCACCTAGGACACCCTAACAACAGCAAAGCAATGCAATATAACTCTTATAAGACTGTAATGATCACCTAGCAACACCTTAGCAACAATACAAAACACCATAACAACAGCATAGCAACCACCTCAAAACCTCTAAAAACAGTAAGCACTAACAACAATGAATAATTCCCTCATAAGTACATAGTAACCCCCTAGCAACCATCAAAAACACCCTAACAACACCATAGCAACACACTAACAACATCCTAATAACCACTTAGAAAACCCTCAGAAACTTCCTAGAAGACCCTAGTAACTGCATAGTAACACACTAAACCACAGAATACCATAATAACCACCTAACAACACCTTAGAAATCTCCCAGAACTCCCTAAACATGACCAAGCAACCGTTCAAAAACCTCAGACAAAAAAAAAAAAAAATGCATAGTAACATATAAAAAGACCCACAACACCCTAATAACAACCTAGCAACACTTTCATAATCTCCCAGAAAACCCTAGCAACTGCACAATAAAACACTAAAACACCTAGAACAATAATAATGACCTAGCAACACCTTAGAAACCAACTCAACCCACATTAACTGCATTTAACATACTAAAACAGCCAGGACACCTGAGAAACCTCCCAGAAAACCCTAGCAACTGCATAGTACAACATTAAAACACCCAGAACACCTTAATAACAACCTAGCAACGCCTTAGAAACCAACCCAACCCACATAAACTGCATTTAATATATTAAACACCCAGAACACCTCAACAACCACCTAGAAACACCCTAGAAACCTCACAGAAGATCTTAGTGAAAGTGAAAGTGACATGACATGTGGCCAAGTATGCTGACCCATACTCGGAATTAGTGCTCTGCATTTATCCCATCCAAAGTGCACACACACAGCAGTGAACACACACACACACCGTGAACACACGGGTTACGAGTTTGACTCTCTAACCATTAGGCCACGACTTCCCCCAACATAATTAGCAACATCTTAACATAATTAAATGCCCAGAACACCCTAATAACCATCTAGCAACACTTTAGTAACCTCCCAAAAGACCCTGGTTACTACACTAAGGGTGTATTCACACCAGGAAAGTCCGCTAGTTCACTTGCTTTGGTCCAGACCAAATACAATGTTGATTTTTTTGGTTTGCTGCGGTTCGCTTTCACACTGCCCTTTTTGCAAGTGAACCAGAAACTGTAAAAAAA